AGGAGAACATTGGCAGGAAACTCTCAGATATCCCACACAGCAATTTTTTCACCGATATGTCTCCTGAAGCAAGGGACATAAAGGAAAGAATAAACAAGTGGGACTTCATCAAAATAAGAAGCTTCTGCACGGCTAAAGAAAACAGCAGCAAAATGAAAAGAGAACCAACCGTATGGGAAAATATATTTGCTAATGATACATCAGATAGAGGTTTGATCTCCAAGATACATAAAGAACTCACTCGACTCCACTCCAAGAAGACAAATGATCCAGTTAAAAAATGGGCAAAGGACCTGGGCAGACGCTTTTCCAAGGAGGCGATACAGAGGGCCCAGAAACATTTGAAAGGAGGCTCGGCATCACTAGCCATCAGAGAAATGCAGATCAAAACCACAATGAGATACTACCTCACACTGGTCAGAATGGCCATCATAAACAAATCGACAAACAACAGGTGCTGGCGAGGCTGTGGAGAAAAGGGAACAGTAGTACACTGTTTGTGGGAATGCGGACTGGTGCATCCATTGTGGAAAGCAATGTGGAGTTTCCTCAAAAAGCTGAAAATGGAACTGCCTTTTGATCCAGTGATTCCCCTGCTGGGACTATACCCTAAGAATCCCAAAACACCAATTCGAAAGAACCTCTGCACCCCAGTGTTCATAGCAGCACAATTTATAATAGCCAAGTGTTGGAAGCAACCTAAATGCCCATCGGTAGATGATTGGATCAAAAATTATGGTGCATTTACACAATGGAATACTATGCAGCAGAAAGAAAAAAAGAACTACTAAACTTTGCAACAGCAAAGTCGAGAACTGGATGGAACTAGAGAGTATTATACTAAGTGAAATAAACCAGGGGGCGAAAGACAAATACCATATGATCTCACCTATAAGCGGAACCTAACCAACAATACAAAGATGCAAGGAAAATAAGACCAGCAACAGTGAAAGGAAAAGAAATCAACAGACAAGAGGGAAGGTGGGAGTGGTGGGCAGGGGAAAAAGAAGGGAAGGGGGAAAGTCAAGGAACATATAGCAAGGACTCATGGACAAACCAAAGGGGAAGGATTGAGGGAGGGAGAGGAGGGAGGGGCAAGGGAAAATGGTGGGGGGAAGGCAGAGACGAATGTATTTGAAAAAATAAATTAATTTTTAAAAATTATTTAAGGTATTGTTTTATTACACATTGATCATGTATTTCTATATATTTGTTAATTAGGTAGTTAATGTAGAGTTTGAAAATCTCTTTTAAAATAGCTTTTGTACTATATGTTAATATCTTTATTGGGGTATATTATTTTGTTGTTAAAACATGGTATTAATAAAATATAAATTGGACTTGTTCTGTTTTATTCAGAGAGACTGGTGGTGGTGGCTGAACACTGTGCGCGGAGTCTAGAAGACCTGCTTCGAGAAAGGAAACCTGTGAGGTACTGTGTAATATCAGGAAATTTAAATGAAATGCAGAAGTTGGCAAACAAAAAGGCATTTTAACTAGAAACTACGGGGTTTTACTTCCTTCTATTACTTGTTTAATGATAAAATCCAGGTGCAAATTTTCATTTTGGGTAATTTAATTCACGGACCTCATAAAATTTTATTGTTGACATGATCCAATGTTCAGCTTTTGTGAAATAGGCATTCTCTAAAGTACTTGACACAAAGATTCCTTTGGAGTATGTATAGGACAGTTTGAAATATTTTTAGTACTAAGAACTTCTCTACCTGAGATTAAGAGTATTTTCCTGAATATACTCTTAATTACCAAGGGGGTACTTGGTAATTTATGTAGGATATGGTATTCCTAGGGACATAGTGAACCGTGTTAATTAAAGACCTTGTTGAAGAGTATAGAAAAATAATATTATGGCTTGAGTGGAAATGAATGATATAGTTTAAATTCAGTAATGTTAATGACTCAGTAAATTTTCTATTTCAGGCATTCTTGGTTAGAAAAGCATGTCATCTAAATTTTATTATAAACATTCTATTAAATGAGTTTTTAAACAGATTTTTAAAAAATATCTTAAAATTATCAAAAATATTTCTTAATGAATAAAGAAAGTTGTACCAAACCAATATCAATATCATTGCCTTACTTGCTTTTTAAAAAATGTCTCATCTGACCATAGGTATTAAAAGTGACTTTTCTTCATATTAGAAATACCTTAAGCTTACTTAGTAAATATGTTTTTATAATTTTTGCATGTCACAATCTTAGATTTTATTTTTTAAAAACATAATACTCTTTACTCACTAGTTTAAATTTCTATTTTATAGGTCACTAGTGCTGTGAAAGCTATTAAAATTGAAAAGCTAATTGTAGCCACATCTTTATGGAAAAAACTTTTCGTTTAAATTCAGCCTAGGTTACATTCAAATAACGATTTATAATTCAGCCTATATGATGAGGAAGCCTGTAACTACCTAGGCGGCCTTAGACAATTCTCTTAATTATTTTTCTTGTCTATAAGACAAGGAGTTTTACTTGATATAGGGATCATTCTAAAGAAAGTTATTCTCAATGTTATATTTTATTTAATATATGTTACATTTGATAGTATAATATTGACCAAATGCCTTTACAAGTATATATTTTTATGTTTTCTTTCACTAAACAGTAGACTTTCTGACAGAAAAATCTGAGACAGAACTAAATGTAAAATTACAGTGCTATAGTTTAAAAGGCTAAATTGTTATAGAAACACCTATTTTATGATCCAGCAATCCTGCTCTTCAGTAGAGGATGCTCTAATTTTGTGCCCTAGGTACCTCATTTGCCTCACTCTAGTCCCTGCCCTGCCTTGGTATTTAACCACAAGAAAGGAAAAATACATGTCCACCAAAATATTTGCATGAGAATAGCCCCAGAAACACTATTCATGTAGCCCCAAACTAGGAAGAACTCAAATGTCCATGGGGGGAGAATGAGTACATAAATCAGGGTTTGTAAATGACCAATACTGATACGTACAACAGCATGGTGAACCTTAAAATTATTATGCTGAACAAAAAAAACAAACACAAAAGATTATTTTCTTCTATTTATGTGACATTCTAGAAAACTTGTCCAAGGTGGTACATATAAAAATAGTTCTTGACTCTGGTTGTGGGCAGGGGAAATAGAAGAACTAATTCAAAATAACCATGAGGGACCCATATGGAGTAATGGAAATATTTTACTTTCTGATCAAGGCATTACATGGTACATGTTCTTTTAAAACTTATCAAACTCACTGAAATATTCACTTAAAGTGCGTGCATTTCACCTATGTAAATTTTACCTTTCATTTTAAAAAAAAGTCAGTTGAGGTGTTTTTTGACTTGAGTTATGAATCCTTCATATAACAACAATGTTGTGTTGTTAATAGAGATGCTTGATCTGATGGCATGCTTTGTAGTTCTTTGTTTAGAAGAAATAGAATGAATTAGCTATTGCTTCTTAATGACTTATCGCAACACTTAGTGGCTTAAAACAACAGTAAACATTTATCATTTCATACAGTTTCTCTGGCCCAGGGATTCAGAAATGGCTTAACTGGTTATTCTAGGTTGGGACCTCCTGAGTTGCAGTCAGTATATTGGCTGGAACTGTAGCCAACAAAGCTTGACTGGAGTGGATTATCTGTTTCTAAGATAGCTCACTCACTTGGTGCCAATTTTGGATAGGAAGCTTTACTTCAGTTCTTCCTTCCCTTGATGGCCTTTCCAAAGCCTCTTGCCTAATCTCATAACAAGGTGGATAAGAAATCCTTTCTTAAAACTATTCTGTGTTCATTTAGGGTGTTTGGGGGAGAAGAAAGGAAGTAGTTTAGTCTATGAAGAGGGAGAGAGGGTGGAGCATTAAGGGAATATCCAGAAGTACTAGAGGTGGAATAGAGCCTTCGCAAACATAGCTATGCTACTATCAAAATTCTTCCATATTGGAATTGATGTTACCTATTGTCTTGCTTCCTCAGCCATTCAAAAGGACTCTCTAAGCCACAGCTCAAATAGTTTTCTGGTCATCAGGATGGTAAACTGTAGATGGAAAATGTAGAACATTTTCCCATCTACATATATGTTCTTTTACTTACTAAAGAACTGAGGCAGAAAAGAGAAGCTAGTTCCTTAGAAGACAAATATCAGTTTTCATCATTTCACCTCAACTCTATCATGTTATTTTATTTTTTTACTTTCAGTTGTACTATATAAAGATACAGTTGATATTGCTTTGCCAATAAGAGTAAGTCCATTAGTTTGTGAAATGTTTTCTCTTCTGTACTCATCATCTTTCATCCTTGTTTTAGCGATGACAAATCTCATAGCAGTGAACACCAATAGTTTCAATAGCATAAAAGTATAAAGAAGCAACCTGTCTTCAATGTGTTTTTATATATCTTTATGAGGATAAAATATTATAGGTAGAAACATATTCTTTGAGTAAGTAAATGAAGATGAACAGGATTAAATGCAGATTCATATTGTCCTTTATGTCATTTACATTTTCCAATAGTCTTTTTCAAATAGAACATATAGCAACTCTTTGGCCATATATAAGTAATATATATTTATATATAAGTACTATATGTTTATATATAAATTATATATATTTAGATATATTTATATATAATAATATATATTTAGGTATATTTATATAAGTAATATATAAATTTTAATTTAAAAAATACTGTTTTTTCAAATAGAACATATAGCAACTTTTATGCCATATATAAGTAATATATATATAGTCCTTTATGTCATTTACATTTTCTAATAGTCTTTTTCAAATAGAACATATAGCAACTTTTTTCCATATATAAGTAATATATATAAGTACTATATATTTATATGTAAATATATATTTAGATATGTTTACATATAATATATATTTAGGTATATTTATATAAGTAATATATAAATTTTTGTTAAAAAAATACTGTGTTTTCATCATTGCGGTTATAGACTAAAATTCAATATTTTTCTTGTTCATTTTGGAATGCAACATTCAGTACTTACTGTTTTTGAGTAGAAATGTATCTGTTATGGTCAGTTCCAAGTTGTTATCTGATCCATCCATCTAAATTAGCTTTGTGGAAAAACTATTTGACTTTCCACATATTTGGGTTACATTAGTCTCTAATGGTAGAGTGGGTTTCGTGTGCAGAGTTGATGTGCTGCAATTTTAATTAATTCTATAACCTGTTTTTAGAAAGTGAAAAGATGTTCCTATGGCTTATAAATCAGTTCTTTCCCCTATTGCCAAAAGTAAGCACCCTGGACCTAGTTTAAAAAAAAAAAAAAGAAGCCAGATGTAAACAGGAAATATATTTAGAATGGGTTGTTATTTGAGACTGCTATATTTATTTAGATGGGGCTGTTATTTGAGACTGTGTCCACCTGTTGCAAAACTGTAAGCTGCTAGTTGTCTGGTAGTTATTTATAATTGATTGTCTAAACTTAAACATCATTCAAGGTATATACCTTACTGTACTTATATTTTGAAGATGACTTTAAATCTTTTGGAAAATTGGCTGTTGGGGAACATTCAAGTGTCTGTGTCAATTTACTCTCTAACTTTTTTCATAATGAATTTAATATCACTGAACTAAGCAATAATGTTTTAAAACATTATAGTAGTAATTTGTATTACAAATATATTAAAACTTAAGACTATCTTGAGGTTTCAGGTCCTAGAAAATTAAGCATTTTCCCATTTTATTATTTATTTATTTATTTATTTATTTATTTATTTATTTAAATTTTATTTTAACTTATTTTTTCAAATACATTTGATAATTTTAGTGGCTGTTAAACCCTTTTGAGAATTTGTGTTATCCAAACAAAATAATCATTTTGTATGACCTGGAGGTATTATTGAGTTGGGCTTTATAAGTGTTATTTGTGTAGATAGTTTGATAACCTGGTTTGAAAAAGAAAAAAAATGAAAAAAAATATGCTGGGGGGAGGGGTATATTGGGGGACTAAATGGTAATGGGGAAAAAAAAACAATAAAGATCAAGTTTAAAAAAAAAAAAAGAAAGAGAAAAGTGCTCACCATTTTTAAAAACTACATTCAAGCTTGAATATGAAGAATTCATTAATTCATTTTGGGAGAATGTTCTCCTTTAAATATGTGGGGTTTTTTTTTTAATGTTACTTGTGCCAGGGTTCAATTTTGCCATATTTCTCTCCAGTTTTAGTTAAATGATCAAAATTATTTGTTGGAACCATAGAAGCATGAAATTAAATTAAATCCCTATAATCAGTAGGTTTCAAGTAAAAAAGTAAAGTGTTTAGAAGATTTGTTTGAAGTCATCCCATATTTGATGTCTGTGAATCTGTTAAATTGCTATCCTAAAGCCAGATTTAAGATACTGAAAAATGGAAAAATTAAATCTTATCTCCTTTCTAAAAGATTTTCCAGATAATGTTAAAAAAAAAGAGATATATCTTCATCACTCCAGTTAAAGCAAACATGAGGAAATGGTTTACCTTTTAAGTCTAGATACTATTTGGAAAGTATTTGCCTTTTGTGTTGGTGTTATTCAGAGCATGTACTTTTGCTTAATTGATAAAAGCACCAGCAAGTGTAATTCATAGACAGATATACAGCAGATTTTGGCACATACAGGAAAGTTTCTGCATTGTCCTTAAATCTGCAAGTGAAGATGGGGTGAGTAGTGAAGGTATGTTTCTTTAATAAAATGTAGTTTGTCATATGTTTTTAGGGTTATGGTTTTGAAAATTTACCAGAGAAGGCTCAGCATTGCTGGGGTTACATATGGAGACTTTGATGGTAAGCAGGCTGTGTCTGCAGCTGTCACTAGGTTGATGGAAAACATGATCTGACTTAACTTGGATGAGTAAGTTGTAAATGCCCCTATTAAAAGGTTGCTTACTCACTGAATTAGATATTCCAAAGAATTTTGGACACATTGTAGAATGCAGTCCAGAGTTGGATAATAAGCCAAATGTCATTATCATCATAAATATTTAGATAATAGTGTTCTTATTTAGGATATAAACTGATGGTGGAAGTTGAGGTACTTATTAATTTTCTGCTTCAAGGGCCCTAGTTTCAAAGTGCATTTGAAATTATTACAATGTAGTCAAGTAACTTAGAGGTTTATTTAACTGATATATATTTTTTCTTCCTCTTTTATTTGTTTTGTTTAAAGACAGAAATTAATACCGAAAGATGCTCTTCACTCAGGTTTGGAATTTTGCAGTTATCTTTTTTTATTTTTTTTTTAAGATTTTATTTATTTGCTTTTAGAGGGAGTGGGTAGAGGGGGAGAAAGAGAGGATGATAAACATAAATGTGAGAGAGAAACATTGACCAGTTGCCTTTTGTACGCACCAAACCTGCAAACCAGGCATGTGCAATATGCCTGCCTTAGTCTTTCTATATTCCAGTCACTCCTACTTTCTGCTAGTATAATAGTATTTTCAAAATCAGTCCATCTCCTGCTTAAATGTATTTGGTTGCTTTTATTGTGTGTGTGTGAGTGAAGAAAAGGCATTATATAGGCATACGATATGACTTCAGTCTAACTCTATTTCCAAATAATGTCTAAAATGTAAGAGTAGTTTTATTGTTACCAATATACAGTGGAGAAGATTGAGTGCCAGAGAATTGAAATACACCACAAAGACTGTGTTTTTTGCCCAACAATGTATTTTCGTTCCTTCACACAATGTGTAGCCCTTCTTCAAGTAATTCACTTACCTCTCTCTGTATCCCTCTGTTATTATACCATCCAACTGAACCAAAGCAGAACTTGTATTTTCCTTCTCCAAATTCCCTTATTATATTGTATCTCTTTAGTTGTAAGGTAACTTTCCCCTTCTAGACTATAATTGTTTGCCTGCAATTATAGAATTAAGGGAGATATGGTTTACCTTCCCTAATTAACTATACTTTTTTAACATGTATACTATAATTTTTCATTTTTCTTTATACTAAAAAAGTTAGTGTAAGAGTTTGGGAATATAAAGTGTTGTAAATTAACTACTGAATTAATTTAAATATGTTTTTAGTTTAGCCATGCAGTTTGAATTGTTTCCCTATTTTCTTCCTTTTAAGTCATGTGCCATAATTTTAATTCCCAGACAAATGAATTTTCATGAAAGTATGATTGATGCAAATGTTATTTTGGTAATTTGTTAGTTGTTTTCTTGGAATTTTTTTTTATAGCACAATTAGAGGAAACAATTTGATTTCCATTCTTGTGGCTCTGAAAAAGAATGCACTTATAAGCTAATTCAGGTTATTGGCAGAATTCAGTTCCTTGCAATGGTAGGACCAAGGTCCCTTATTTCCTTGATTACTATCAGTCAGGGGCTGCCTTCAGCTCCTAAGGGCCACCTGCATTCTTTTATTTCCTCCGCCTCTAACTTCTAGATCTAGATTTCAAGGACTTATATGATGAGATCAGGCTCATCTGGATAAACCCACTTTTGTCTTTTGTCTTCCTTTTTTTATGTAGTTACTTTTAGAGAAGGGAAGAAAGGGAGAAAGAGAGGGAGAGAAACATTGACCAGGGTTGCCTCTCACACACCTCCAACCTGGGACCTGGCCCACAACCCAGGCATGTGCCCTGCCCTGCGATAGAATCAGGGACCTTACGGTTTGCGGGGCATTGCCCAATCCACTGAGCCACACCAGCCAGGGCAACTCCCCTTTCTTAAAGTCAGCTTTGCCATATAATATAATGTGATTGTGGGAGTAAAATTCATCATATTTATAATCTTGGGCATTATGCAAGGTGCACGCTAAGGAGCACACATCTTGGGAGCCATTCTAGAATTCTGCCTACCACAGTTTGGTTAGTACAAATTTGGGAACACTTTGGATTTTTTTCTCTGGTGCTATTTATACTCATAAAGACAAAAGAGGGATGAAATAGTAATGAAATTAAGCAGTACAATTTCCTGTTGAGAAATGTTTGAAGAACAGAAACTACTGAGTTGATAAATCATAAGGTGTCAACATGTAAAAGAACAACAATTAAGGAAGCACTTGGAGGCAGGCTACAAGAGGCTCAGAGTGTTTTTTTATTGTTTTATTTTGTCTTTGCCTTTGTTTTTAGCTATACATTTTTTGTTCTTTTTCTTTTTTTTTTTTAAGTGATTGCAATAGGGATTACAATATGGATCCTTAATCTACCACAGTCTTTCATGAATTGTTATTATGCCTATTAACATATAATACAGAAATCTTATAACAATATACTTCTATTTTCCCTTTCACATCTTTTGAGTATTGTTCATACATTTTGAAATTTGTATTTATTTTTACATATATCATAAAACTGATCATACATTGTTATTGTTTTTGCTTTAAACAATTTCTTTAACTACCTTGAGAAACGAGGAAAAAAATTCTTTTCTATATAACCATGTATTTACTGTTTCCTGAGCTGTTTATTACTCTGTTTTGATCCAGGCTTCCATCTGGTATCATTTTCCGTCAGCCTGAAAAACTTTCTTTAAAATTTTAGTTCAAATCTGATGCTGACAAATTCTCACAGATTTTGGCTGTCTGAAAATGTCTTTATGTCATCTTAATTTAATTGTTTTCTAGATTAGTATTTTATAATAAAAAAATTTCAAACAAAGCAAAGTTTAAAGAGTCATACAATATACCAATATTCTACAATTAACATTTTGCCAGCTTTAGCTTTATCACATATTCATCTATTTGGTCATTAACTTATGATGTTATTTTGATGCATTTCAAAGTAAGTCACAGATATCATCCCTAAATTTTCCCATCTACATATTATTAACCAAAGTTAACATATGTTTTTGTTTTCTTCTTAGGTGAAGTTTATATTCATTAAAGTATAAAAATTTGTATATCATTTGATGAATTTTGACAAATGTGTACAGCTGTATTACCCAAATACATATTAAAATTAGATCACTATTATCATCCTAGAAATTTTCCTCATGCCCCTTCCCAGTAAATCTTTGCCCTTCATTCTATTTGTTTCCCAGAAATAACCACTTTTCTTAGTTTTTCACATTAGATTTGTTTATTCTAGAAATTTATAGAATTGGAATTATATGATATATATTCTTTTGTGTAGGGCTTCTTTCACTCACCCTAATGTTTCTAGAAGTCATCTATGTGGTTTCATTTATTATATATAGCTAACTCATTTTTATTGCTGAAGTGTATTCCATTTTATGAATGTGCCGGTTTGTTTAGCAATTTTCTATTTATGAACTCCTGAGATATTTCCAAGTTTAGCTATTATAATTAAAGTTTTT